GCTGTTCCTCCTCCCCCGCAGCCTCAGCTCGCTCTGTCGCCAGTACAATGCTCTGGGCAGCAGGACTGTGAGCTCCTGGGGCAGCACAGCTGCAGAGCCCGGCCTGACCCGGTCTCTGTGCTGCGTGGTGGCGTGGCTGGCTCTGCCAGCCACCGGTGCTCCAGGCAGCGCGGTAAGGGGGCAGGGAGCGGGGGGGTTGGATAGAGGGCAGGGGAGTTCAGGAGGGGGTGGTGAGGGGGCAGGTGTGTGGATAGGGGTCGGGGCGCTCAGAGGGCGGGGAACGGGGGGGGGGTTGAATGGGGGCAGGGTCCCGGGGGGGCAGTCAGGAAGGAGGGGGGGGTTGGATGGGGCAGCGGGGGGCAGTCAGGGGCAGGGGTTCCGGGGGCAGTCAGGGAGAAGGGATGCTTGGATGGGGCAGAGGTCCAGGGGGGCAGTCAGGAATGAGGGGTGTTGGAAGTCTGGGGGTGATCGGGGACAGAGAGCGGGGGGGTGGATGGGGCAGGGGTTCTGGGGGGGCTGTCAGGGGGCGAGAAACGGGGGGGGTCAGATAGGGGGTGGGGGCTGAGCCACGCCTGGCACAGCCTCCCCTAACTGGCCCTCATTACAATTTCAGAAACCCGATGTGGCCTTCAGGCAAAATAGTTTGCCTGCCCATGTCCTAGAATCTCATCAACACAATGTGGAATTCAATGTTTCTGATTTTGTTTTTTTTCAAAGGGAAAGTTAAAATGGGAAGTGTTGGGGGCCTGTTAATTGTGGCTGTCATCTGGGAGCTCAGCAGTGCGGCTCTGGGGAGCCTGTAATGGTATGTCTGCAGAGGGATAAAATTCCCACAGCAGGGCCATGGCTGGCCCAAGTCAATTGACTCGGGCTTGCAGGGCTCAGGCTCTGGGGCTAAAAATCACTGTGTAGAGTTCAGGCTGCAGCCCCAGCCTGAGCTCTAGGACCCTCCGTCCTCACAGGGTCCCAGACCGCAGGCTCCAGCCTGAGCTGGAGAATCTCTACAGCGATTTTGGAGCCGCAGAGCCCGAGCCCCTCTCAGCTGACCCAGGCCAGCCGCAGGTTTTTTATCCGTATGTCGATGTACCTTAAATGACTGCAGGCATGTTTGTATGTGTTCAGAAGACCTGTCTGTTTTGGCAAAGAATTGGCCTAGGTTTGAAATTGGGTCTCAACTCTTTTTAAAAAAATGTTCTGTGAACACTAGAAAAATACACTGTGATTCTCTTTCCTCTGAACAGAATCTTCCATTTCCACACACATTTCACCCCGAACTAAGCAAGAGGAAGAGCCACCTATTGGGGATCAGCCAGCTTCAGAACCAAAAGAGAGCCTTCCAGATCGCAGCACCGGTGAGTAATTCAAACAGCTTGGATGCAGTGAATGAGTAAAATGTTGGAAATGCCCACAAAACTCTGATGAGCTCTTAAAGGTTCTGCCTTTTTCTCATGTTGTTCTGTTTTGTAACCAGAACTTGACATTCCTTCATCTCCGACCTCAGTCCTGGCTTCCTACCACGCCTGGCTGACTATGGGCAGTGTAGCTCTCTCATCATCTGATTTATTCTCTCCTCCCCCCCCATTTTCAGGTGAAGAGGCTCTCTTTAAAAATCAAGCATTTTATTTAAATCCCTGTCTGGATTCTATAGGTGGCAGGGACTTTCGTACTTTGTGCTTCGTCCAGTGCAGAGAACAGCCTCTAGATGCTAATGTATGCAAATAATAATCATCCTTTATTCTATCAGGTGAAGGGGCTTTGGTCAGATCTGAGGATCAGCATCATGGTGAAGGTCCTGTGAACCTGGAGCTGACCAAGAAGTTATCGGGTAGATCTGCAGAGAAGTTTTTCCGGAGTCCCAATGTAGGAATGCCCTCCGAGAGGCAGGGCAGCTCAAATATACAACCGGAGAATCCTGCAGAGATCAGACCTGGGAAATCTACTCCGTGTGAGGCAGGTTCTGGTGAACTCCAGCCAAAACCACAGCCCTGCGCAAGAGAGAAATCAAAGAGCTTCGCTTGCAAGACTGTTGATAAATCTCATCGGAAACGTCACACTGTAGAGAAAGTATATCCTTGCACTGAATGTGACAAAAGCTTTCCTGATCAAGCACTACTGACTAGTCACTACAGAATCCGCTCGGGAGAGAGGCCGTATCAGTGCCCTGTGTGTGGGAAACGATTCAGCCACCAGTCTATTCTCATCAAGCATCACAGAATCCACACGGGGGAGCGGCTGTATAAATGTACGGAATGCGAGAAAAGCTTCAATGAGAAATCCAAGCTGACCAACCACTACACAATCCACACTGGAGAGAGACCCTATGCTTGTAAAGAGTGTGGGGAAAGTTTCCGGCTGAAGATGAGTCTTATAAATCACCAGATAAGTCATGGCAAAGAGAAGCCTTATCAGTGCGCCTTGTGTGACAAGAGCTACATCCAAAAGAAACACCTCCTACGTCACCAGCGAGTCCACACAGGAGAGAGACCCTTCCATTGTACTGTGTGTGGGAAGAACTTTCGGCAGAAGTTTGTCCTGCTATCCCATCAGCGACTCCACACAGGAGAGAGACCCTATGCCTGTACCGTGTGTGAGAAGAGCTTCATCACCAAATCCAAATTGACCAGTCACTACCGTATCCACACGGGAGAGAAGCCCTACAAGTGCACTGAGTGCGGGAAGAGCTTCAGAGTGAGGGAGACTTACCGGCAACACCAGCATAGTCACGCGCAAGAGCGACCCTACAAGTGTAGTGACTGCGAGAAGAGCTTCAGCTGCCAGTCAGGCCTTATCAGACATCAGACGGTCCATACAGGAGAGAAGCCTTATAAGTGTGTGGAATGTGGAAAGAGCTTCAGCCGCCAGTCAAATCTTATTAGACATCAGACGGTCCATACAGGAGAGAAGCCTTATAAATGTGTGGAATGTGGAAAGAGCTTCAGCTGCCAGTCAGGCCTTATTAGACATCAGAAGGGCCACACTGGAGAGAAGCCTTATAAATGTGTGGAATGCAACAAGAGCTACAGTCGGAAGGAGTGTCTGCTAAGCCACCAGCTCATCCACACAGGAGAGCAGCCCTACACCTGCACTGAATGTGGTGAACACTTCAGGCTAAAGGTGACTTTTGTAAAGCACCAAAAGAATCATGCAAAAGAGGACTCTGGTCAGCGCAGCCTGTCCTTTAAAACTTGAATGGTCACTGAGGTTGGTACAGTACAGCAGGTGACTTACACAGCAGGAGGCTGTTTAAATGCACTGCTGGTGACAGACACTTAATTTGAAAGGACTATCCTCGTCCAAAATGCCAACTTCCCCATGTGGCAAAGGGAATGTCTAAATGTAGATGGGGAACACCTGAGAAAGGCTCAACATCCGCTACAGTCATCAGATTCATTTAGTTTCTGAGCCTTGGCACCTTTCAGGATGTGGCCCAGAAAAACCCAAACTCCGAACGATGCTGAGGCCAAGAAACTTTATTGGTAAACAGTCCCTTAAAGGCCTCCAAAAAGGTTCTCTTCATGGCAGAATCCTCTGTAGGCTCCTTTTACAGCAATTAAAGACCTTCACCACGAGCCAGTCCACTCCTGCCGTCCCACGAACTGCTCTGCTCTACAAGCTGCTCCGCTCCACTCACCGACCTATGAGCCGCTCCAGCCGTCCCCGCAAATGGCTCCGCTCACCGACCTGTGAGCCGCTCCAGCCATCCCCGCAAACGGCTCCGCTCGCCGTTCCTTGGGCCGCTCCAACCGTCCCCGCAAGGCTCCACACCGCTCGCTGCTCCTCCAGCCGTCCCCACAAACTGCTCCGCCAGCCACTTAGTAATATAGCTTCAGGCTCCCCCACTAGTTAACACAGCACTCAGTGATTTCAGCTCTTAGTAACTTCAGCTCTTTTGTGACTTCAGCTCTTAATGATTTCAGCTTGTAGTAGGGGAGCCCCAGTGCTGGTGCACCAGTGGCCCAAAGTGAATTCAGCTCAGCAGCCTGTAACTAGACTCGTAATGGAATCAAAGTTAGCTCTGACATTCAACAGTGGAGAGAGAAATTGTGTTTCAGACCCTCAAAGGGAGCCCATACCATCAGGTACAAATACCTGTTCCCATCCTCTCTCTCAATTCACTAAGTTTTCTAACCCATGCCCCTTGTCAAGCAAGTGCTACTTAGTTAATGGTGAGTCCTTCTGTCATACAACAGTTTCCACTGGCCTTGATTCACAGCATCAGGGTAACAAAACTTTATTCTTCCTGCCCCAGTAACAGAGAAACTGGAGATCCCACACCAGCCAAAGTAACCACTTTCAGTTGCTGTTGTCTCATGCCAGGCGGGTGGGTGTGCCTATGCAAATAAGATCAGCCCCTGGAGTTCTTTTCCACCCTCGCCATAATTCACCACCAGATGTCAGGGTAGAGCTCATCCTGACTCTGCTTACATATATAAATAAATAAATATGAGAGAGAGAGAGAGAGAGATCCTCTCTCCATTTTAAAACCTGAGAAGTCACTTGATGTGGGATTCTTCATCTCTCCAAACTAAAAAGGCAGCAACAGTTCTACATGCAAAGAAAGTAGCAGTGGAAGGAAGATGGAAACCAATATTTGCTCAAGAAATAACCGGTCAAAAAGTCCTATTCAGCCCATGTTATTTAAATCTGCTTTAAAGCCTAGGACAACTCATCAAATATCTAATCATGAGAGGGTTTTATCATGAAATTACATTATCTGTGCTTGGATATGGGAAGTTTCTTTCCATCCCACTTTAAACAACTCCCACAAATCCAGGAAATCTGTGTGTTGACTTTATAAAAACTAAGTGCATAAAAATATCTGCTGGGGCGGTAAGCAGGAAAGCCTGGCCACTGACTTATAGGATGTCTTGTGAGGCTTTCTGAGATTTTTATGATTCTAAGCACTCAAATTTAATAAATGAGAAGTAAAACTGAAACCTCGTTTCCTTCTCCAGCCCTGAAGAAGAGTGCTGTGAAGTTTGAAAGATTCTCCCTTCCATCAACAGAGGTTGGTTCACCTTGTCTCTCTCAAGTGAAACTGGGTTATTTAGGAATTTTAAAAACCCTATTTTTACAGTGTGCGTCTCTAAATTAGTGGTGGTTTGATAATGGGTGTAGATCGGGGTCGGCAGCCTTTCAGAAGTGGTGTGCCGAGTCTTCAGTTATTCACTCTAATTGAAAGTTTCACGTGCCAGTCATACATTTTAACGGTTTTTAGAAGGTCTCTTTCTATAAGTCGATACAACAATAGTTTAGTTATATATTATGTAAAGTAAATAAGGTTTTTAAAACGTTTAAGAAGCTTCATTTAAAATTGCATTAAAATGCAGAGCCCCCGGACCGGTGGCCAGGACTCGGGCAGTGTGAGTGCCACTGAAAATCAACTCGCGTGCCGCCTTTGGCACGCATGCCATAGGTTGCCTACCCCGGTGTAGATAAATCTCTGCATTAAGCATCTTTGCATAACTTTCATATGACTTCGTATTATGCCTCTTCATATAACCTTGTATTAAGTCTTTCCATATATAACCTCTATTTTCATACAACTGGGGCGGTCAGAGGGTGGGGAACGGGGCGGGGGGGGGGGTTGAATGGGGGCAGGGTTCCTAGAGGGGCAGTCAGGAAGGAGGAGGGGTTGGATGGGGCAGCGAGGGGCGGGCAGGGGTTCTGGGGGCAGTCAGGGAGAAGGGGTGCTTGATGGCCTTGGGAGTTAGAAGCAAGCACCTTCTTTTGAAAACACCGTCTTTGAAAATAAATGTGGCAGCATTAAGACAACACCCAGACGGAAGCACTACAGATGACCAACTGACACAGACACAGATTTTGCATCTGGTACAGATTTGCACGAGAGGGAAGCTGCTATAAAAGTGAGGTGTTTTGCAGAGGAACCCGGGTCTCGTCTTGTCAACATTGGAGCATCGATCCAGATCGACAGAAGCCCGGCTCCATCCCTCCCCCATCTAACTCACCTGGCCAGTGCAGTTAAGGGGAGCAACTAGTTGGTAACAACATCAAGACGGAGTGTGCTTGTGTGTGTATGTGAGTACATGACTGTAATATATAAGATATGCATATGACGTGGTGTTGATTGATACATGTATTACCAATAAATGTGGCGCTTTGCCTTATCCCCCCTGAAAAGATCCTGTGCAGTACTTTAAGTACAACATGGGCTCTTCAGTTTTCAGATGACACAAACCTAGGGGGGTTGCCAGTACTTTGGAAGCTAGAGCTAAAATTGGAGAACTGGTCTATAGACAACAAAATGAAATTCAACAAACAAATGTCAAGTGCCACATAAACCAAATGCACAAGTACAGAATGGGGGGGAACTGCCTTGGCAGCAGCACTGCTGAGAAGGATCTGGGAGTTCTGGTGGATCACAACCTCAACATGAGTCAGCAGTGTGAGCCTGTTGCAAAAAAGGCAAATGCAATTTTAGGTTGCATTAACAGAGGCCTAGCAGGCAAGTTATGGGAGGTGGTGATAGTACCACTCTACTCGACACTGGTTAGGCCTCAGCTTGAGTACTGTGTCCAATCTTGGTCACCGCTTATAAAAAGGATGTAGTGAAACTGTAAAGGATCCAGAGGCGAGCAACAGAGATGATCAAAGGGATGGAACGCAAGCCATATGAGCAAAGGCTGAAAGAATTGGGTCTGTTTAGTTTGGAAAAGAGGAGATTAAGGGGGGACAGGAGAGTGGTCTTCAGATATGAAGGCTGCCATAAAAAAGATGGAGAAAAGTTCTCTTTTGCCGCAGAGGTCTGACAAGAGGCATTGGGTTAAAAGTACAGCAGAGCAGCCAGATGAAATCTCAGGAAGAACTGCCTCACTGTAAGAACAGTAGGACGAAGGAACCGACGCCTGGGGAGGTTGTGGAAGCTCCTTCACTGGAGGTTTTCAATAGGAGGCTGGAGAGCCGTCTGCCTTGGGTGGTTTAAACACAACAAATCTGGCATCTTGGCAGGAGGTTAGACTAGAGGACTCTTGCGGTCCCTTCTGACCCTGTGGTTCTGTGATTATAGGAGCCAAAGGTGTAACAAGATCCAGTGGCTGGAAGTTGAAGCTAGACCAGTTCAGACTAGAAATAAGGCACTAATTGTTAACAGCGAGGGTGAATAGCCATTGGAACAATTTATCAAGTGTTGTAGTTGAATTCTCCATCACTGGCCATTTTTAAATCAAGATTGGATGTTTTTCTAAAAGAGCTGCTGTATGTGAAACAAGTTAATTCAGGGAAATCCTGTAGTGGAATATAGGTGGTCAGACTGGAATATAGATGATCGCAATTGACTTTACAATCTGAATAAAATCCAGAGACTGTGAAGGACTTTCCCGCTGTGCATAACTCCATAACTAAAGGAACCAGCCATCTGGAAACTCCTGCCCAATTCAGGACACTACACAACAGATCTTAGGCCTGGTCTACACTACGACTTTAATTCGGATTTAGCTGCGTTAATCCGAATTAATCCTTAACCCGTCCACACAACGGAGCCAGTTACTTCGAATTAAAGGGCACTTAAAATCGATTTCTGTACTCCACCCCGACGAGCGGAGTAGCACCAAAATCGATTTTGTTAATTCGAATTAGGGGTAGTGTGGCCGCACACCACCGAATTAATGTGGTTAAAAACCAAATTAATGTGCTTAGTGTGGCCGCGCACAATCGAATTTATACAATCTGTTTCCCAAATTCGAATTATCTAAATTTGGATTAATCCTGTAGTGTAGACATACCCTTAGTCTGTGGCTACCCTCTGGCATTGCCACCAATCTGACAACATGCAAGCAGCCGTAGCCATTCGGGATTACAAAGTCTGATGAGCTTGCTAAGTAAACTAAACGTGTGTAAGGCCAAACCAGAACTCTCTCTGTTTGTGCTTTGCAAAAAAATAAATACTGAAAGAATTCAACAGCAAAACTAAATACTTCTTGCGTGATACACCAGATAGTGAAATATCACAACCTACTAAGCAATAACATTGAGATCCTGAGAACATGAAATGAACACTGAGGATCCTATGTTATTTTTTGAATACTGGCTACTAGAAATATTCATGTGAGATCCCAAAGTGGATCCACTTGCCTCTAAAAGGGCTTGTCATGTTCCTAAAACAAGAGCAGAGCTGGTTGAAAGAACCTGACCTGGAACTGTGATCTGTTGTGCATCTCACTTGAGCAACAGTGGAAAATATTCACTCACTTGCACTATACGCTGACTTTTAAATAACCTGTAAATGACCACAATACTATTTTTTCTTGTCATACCCTCCTTCTGACAAGCTATGGGTGAGCATAATGTTAATATAGCCCAGTAAGCTAAGAATCCACTATGGTGATAACCTGTATCTTGCTACACGGAGGGCAGAGACTTCATTGGACTTAACAGAAAATAAGGACGTATATGGGACCTCATCAGCCCATTCAGAGCTAATGGAGATTCTCTCTTAAACTGTTTTAACATAGTGAAGGAGTGGTTGGTATATTTAATGACATGCATCTGACGAAGTGGGTATTCACCCACGAAAGCTTATGCTCCAATATGTCTGTTAGTCTAAAAGGTGCCACAGGACTCTTTGTCGCTTTTTAATAATCGTCTTTGAAGCATT